GTATGAGCCCCTAATAAAATGATATAAATAAATAAAGAGCCTCATCTTTCTCCCTTGCAGCATCTGGTGAGTTTGAACTGCTGACCTTGCAGTTCATTGTGTAACCACGAAACCACCAAGGTTCCTGTATGCACACACACTTGTATCTCTGTGGACGGGAACACAGGTATACTGGCCAGAGTGATAGTTCCAGGAAGAGGAACTTGGTAAATGAAGGACAGGGAGGGGGAGGAGGTAAACTTTCTGTTAGAAAACACGTCTTGGCACATCTTTTGAAATTTAGCCTGGTGAGTGTCTTCTAAAGGGGCTCCTCTGAACTCTGAGCCAGCAGAGGAACATGGCAAAGGACACAGCAAACAGAGTTCAAAGCCTCATCTGTATTACTAGGGTAGGGATGCTGGAGAATCTGGCTTGTGGTGCAGCGGCAGAGAAGTGGGCTTCGAAGATTGAACCCCACGCGCTGATACTATCGGGCCAGGGACACCCCAGCACCACCCTCCTCTGGGTCATGAGCTCAGCCTGCCCATAGGGGTTGTGGGAGAGATCACAGGCTCTTTAGAAGAGGAAAATGGGTACGAGGTGGTAGAGGATGTCTGTCTCCCACCCAGGGGTGTCGATAAGGCTCTGACCACAGGGAAGGAAGTGGGGGGAGAAGCCGCCTGCACACAGCTCTTTAAAAATTACTTTAAGTAGACAAGGGGACCAAAGGTCAAGGATGTGGGAAACAATTGCCAGCTCAACATCGCTGAGCTAACATGTGGCAAAACACATCTAGTGCTCCGACTCCCAATTCCTTGCGTCTTGGTTCCCACCAACAGGCCGCACAGCACTTGTTATCATCCAAGCGTGTTCCAAGGACTTTCCAGGAAGTCCCCACCAAATACCTTGCACCTCAATCATTATTATTCTCATCAGAGAGGTTATGGAACTTGAGGCACAAGCAGGGTAAATAAGCTGCTAGTGAGTAGCTAAAGTAGGGGTCCTACTGGCAGGCAAAATGGTTAAGTGCTTGTTTACAGTGGCCATAGAACAGGGATTAGGGCTGTTTTGTTTCTGGGAGGAAAGATTCGTTTTAATGTTGTTTGATCTGTGACCCTGGGATGGGAGTAATATGGAAATCATAAAGAATTCTAAAACTCAAAATACCCCTCACTGCCGTTGACTTGACTGCAACTCGTGGAGACCCTGTAGACAGAAGAGAACTGCCCTTGTGGGTTTCGGACACCATCAATCTTTTGGGGAAGCAGAAAGCCTTGCCTTTTGTCTGTGGAGCAACTGGTAGGTTTGAACCTCTGACCTGTGGCCAACACTCAACTCATAACTCTATGCTACTAGGGCTCCTCGTGAAGGATGGGAAGAGTGGAAATGCTATCCATGTCCACACCCCTTCCCAGCAGGTGCTGAGCAGCACGTGGACAGAGGGCTGGGGTGGCAGCTGACACACGTCTTTGGGAGTCTCTGGGGCTAAGTGTCCAGCACACATGCAGAACTGTGTCCAGAGTCACTGGCCTTGTGCCAAGCTTGCTTCAGATCACAGGGGGCCTTGAGCGATCTGAAGACTGAAGCTAGCTAGCACCCACTAGAAGAGACCATGGGTCCTTGAGGTGTTCTTAAGAGAGCAGCAAGGGAAATATGGTGGTGGGGGGGGTTTAAACCTCTAGAGATCGCAGAAGAGACACTGTGTGTGGTGGGATAATGGGGGTAGGGGGGGGCAAGGGCACAGTCATGTAGGTGAGGGCTAAGAGCTATAGTCATTAATGGAATTGATGGTAATAGACACTCACTTGTGCCCAAAGGCTGCAAAATATCTCCATCCTGATTTCTATCTCTAGACATGCCTGAATTCACCACTCTGGTTCCTCATTGATCCACATCTCAGTTCAGTCTGGTGGTATT